GTGAGCGGGGGGGGGGAGCGGGTGAGGGGGGGTGAGGGGTGAGCGGGGGGGGGGGGGGGTGAGGGGGGGGAGGGGGGGGGCAGCGGCGAGGTCTGTGGGTGAAGAGGAAAAAAATTTACTGGTGACAATGGCCCTTCATAGCCACGTAAACACAAAAGTAGTGTCGTAATAATGAAGGGTCGTTGTCCCGAAACGTCGCCTATTCACATTGCTTCCCAGGCCACAGGACGGCTCATTGATGAGCAAGCCGGGTTCACGATTCGCGCCACAGCCAAGGCGGCGGCAGCGGCAGCAGCAGCAGTAGCAGCAGTAGCAGCAGTAGCAGCAGCAGTAGCAGCAGTAGCAGCAGCAGCAGCAGTAGTAGCAGCAGCAGTAGCAGCAGCAGTAGCAGTAGCAGCAGTAAGCAGCAGTAGCAGTAGCAGCAGTAGCAGCAGTAGCAGTAGTAGCAGCAGTAGCAGTAGCAGCAGTAGCAGCATAGCAGTAGCCAGCAGTAGCAGTAGCAGCAGCAGTAGCAGTAGCAGCAGTAGCAGCAGTAGCAGTAGCAGCAGCAGTAGCAGCAGTAGCAGTAGCAGCAGTAGCAGTAGCAGCAGTAGCAGCAGAGCAGTAGCAGCAGCAGTAGCAGTAGCAGCAGTAGCAGTAGCAGCAGTAGCAGTAGCAGCCAGTCAGCTAGCAGCAGTAGTAGCAGCAGTAGCAGCAGTAGAGTAGCAGTAGCAGCAGTAGCAGCAGCAGCAGTAGCAGCAGTAGCAGCAGCAGCAGTAGCAGCAGTAGCAGTAGCAGCAGTAGCAGCAGTAGCAGCAGTAGCAGTAGCAGCAGTAGCAGCAGTAGCAGTAGCAGCAGTAGCGCAGTAGCAGCAGTAGCAGTAGCAGCAGTAGCAGCAGCAGCAGTAGCAGCAGTAGCAGCAGTAGCAGTAGCAGCAGTAGCAGCAGTAGCAGTAGCAGCAGCAGTAGCAGTAGCAGCAGCAGCAGTAGCAGTAGCAGTGCAGCAGTAGCAGCAGTAGCAGCAGTAGCAGTAGTAGCAGTAGCAGCAGTAGCAGCAGTAGCAGCAGCAGTAGCAGCAGCAGCAGTAGCAGCAGTAGCAGCAGTAGCAGCAGTAGCAGCAGCAGCAGTAGCAGTAGCAGCAGCAGCAGTAGCAGCAGCAGCAGTAGCAGCAGCAGCAGTAGCAGCAGCAGCAGTAGCAGCATAGCAGCAGTAGCAGCAGTAGCAGCAGTAGCAGCAGTAGCAGCGACGGATCATTGAAGTTGGATCGCACGGGGCGGGCGGGGGGGTTGAGAAGCGGCGAGGAGACCGGGCAATCTCACAATCTCATTCATCCTGGAGGGGGAATCCAAAGAGCTATAAAGCTCTTTATTCACACATGTCCAGTAGGGGCGTGTAAGAACGTGACAACTCATGTTCTTTCTGTAAAGTCACGTAGAAGGGAAATAATAAATAATAAAAATAAAACATCATAAATAAGATTATCACGACGTTTTCGGCCACAACGCAAGCAGCCGTTGGCAAGAAGATGAATCCCTGCAGTCACGAAAGCTTTAAATCGAATTAACGTGACAGCTGTCGCGGAGGAGGCTGCGTTCACCCTGTTCATGACATCGGATCGTGAATCCGAGTGGTGAACGAGACTCACACAAAGGGAGGAATCTCCCGCTTCCCCGGCAATCGGTGGCTGGGCTGGGACTGTCACGATTCCTCGAAGTGTTAAACTATTTATTGCAGCAGGTCAGGGCCCACTGAGCTGCGTGGCTCTTCTTCAGAAGCGACCTGCCCATCACAAATGACGGCTCAACCAAGTGGCTTGTCGTCGTCACGTGGACGTTTATAGCAGCAGCCAATACTCGAAACGCGTGACGTTGATTCTAAATGTGGAGGGGGGAAAACCAGAAGACACGGAGAAAAATCCACGTGGAGAGAGACACGCAAACTACAAATATACAGCAGCAGCAGGCATTGTCAGGGTCGGGATTGAACCCACGACCTCCTCCATACCAGGCGAGGGAGTGAACATCTCTTAGCCACCGTGATGATGGTGAGAGACACGCAAACTACAAATATACAGCAGCAGCAGGCATTGTCAGGGTCGGGATTGAACCCACGACCTCCTCCATACCAGGCGAGGTAGTTAACATCTCCTAGCCACCGTGATGATGATGAGAGACACGCAAACTACAAATATACAGCAGCAGCAGCAGGCGTCGCCAGGGTTGGGAATGAACCCACGACCTCCTGCGTACCAGGCGAGGTAGTTAACATCTCCTAGCCACCGCGGCTCTCACAATGATGCACGAATCGTCGGGACACGAGCAGGAATCGCGCCGAGGGGAGGGTGGGAGACTCGTCAAGGGGCTCTCAGCCCGGTGTCGTGAGGGACGCTGCTACTGCTGATGGGCAGCTGGAGGCAGTCGCCCTCCAACAACAACAGAGGCCGGAGGAGCGACGCTCACAACAACGAGCGGAGCGCCGGGCGGATAAAACGCAGCCAGTTGGCACAGCAGTGGGTACAGATGGTGTGCATCTGCCAGTCATCTCAGGCAGGCAACCCATGGTACCAACTTGGTCTGCCCCGTGACCTGCCAGCAGAGCCTTCGACACTTCACGTGGCCTCGACGTGCACCTAGCCTGGCACAGCCGCCGTGGTGACATCCGTTACAGTGCATCGTCAGTTATCCTTAAAGCTCACGCCACGTGGACATCGTGGGCGCGTGTACAAAACAATTGATTCCGCCCGCGATTGGTCGGGACATTGTAGCGAAACGCTGCGGGGGGTGGAGGGGGACACAACAAACGAGGCAAGATACAAACACAACAAGTCGCAGCGGTCTGTATTTGATATTGCAGTCGTGAGCCCTGACGCGTTACGACCTCGAGGGAGTCGTTCGGTTCATTTGAATCGGTACCGTTGGGGGGGGGGGGCAGAAGAGGCGGGGTTACAACAGACAGGGGCGGGGCCTCAGTGGAAGAGGGCGGGGCTAAGACAAACGAGGCGGGGCTACAACCAGAGAGGGGGCTACAACCAGAGAGGCGGGGCTACAGTCGGAGGGGCGGGGCTACAACCAGAGAGGCGGGGCTACAGTCGGAGGGGCGGGGCTACAACCAGAGGCGGGGCTACAACCAGAGAGGCGGGGCTACAGTCGGAGGGGCGGGGCTACAACCAGAGAGGCGGGGCTACAGTCGGAGGGGCGGGGCTACAACCAGAGAGGCGGGGCTACAACCAGAGGCGGGGCTACAGTCGGAGGGGCGGGGCTACAACCAGAGAGGCGGGGCTACAGTCGGAGGGGCGGGGCTACAACCAGAGAGGCGGCGGGCTACAACCAGAGAGGCGGGGCTACAACCAGAGAGGCGGGGCTACAACCAGAGAGGCGGGGCTACAGCCAGAGAGGCGGGGCTACAGTCGGAGGGGCGGGGCTACAACCAGAGAGGCGGGGCTACAACCAGAGAGGCGGGGCTACAGTCGGAGGGGCGGGGCTACAGTCGGAGGGGCGGGGCTACAGTCGGAGGGGCGGGGCTACAACCAGAGAGGCGGGGCTACAACCAGAGAGGCGGGGCTACAACCAGAGAGGCGGGGCTACAACCAGAGAGGCGGGGCTACAACCAGAGAGGCGGGGCTACAGTCGGAGGGGCGGGGCTACAACCAGAGAGGCGGGGCTACAACCAGAGAGGCGGGGCTACAGTCGGAGGGGCGGGGCTACAGTCGGAGGGGCGGGGCTACAACCAGAGAGGCGGGGCTACAACCAGAGAGGCGGGGCTACAACCAGAGAGGCGGGGCTACAGCATAAGGGGCGGGGCTACAGTCGGAGGGGGCGGGGCTATAAGGGCGGGGAGGGGGGCACTCATTGAACGAAAGGCAACAAGAAAGCGTTGCGGCTTTGAAAATAATATAAACAAGGTGACGTTTCGGGCAATGGTCCTTGACATCATAACACAGAGGGCAAAGAGGCAACATTGGATAGGATTTGGGGAGTGGAGACGCCGCGAGTCTCTCTGTTGTGAAGCAGGGAGGGAGGGAGGGGGGCTCTGCCCGAAACGTCGACAATTAAACTGCAAATATTTATTTCTTTTTCAGGGCCGCACAGTTTTATTGACGAAAGTGTAACGGGGATTTTGAAGAGGCGGCCGAGGGAGTGGGCGGTATACAGCCGAACGTGGGCGGAGTCGCCGGAAAACTAGGCGGGGCCTACAAAGTGGGGTGGGGCCAGGATAAGGAGGCGGGGCCAGGGTAAGTAGGCGGGGCCAGGGTAAGGGGGCGGGGCCAGGGTAAGTAGGCGGGGCCAGGGTAAGTAGGGGGGCCAGGGTAAGTAGGTGGGGCCAGGGTAAGGAGGCGGGGCCAGGATAAGGAGGCGGGGCCACGGTAAGTAGGCGGGGCCAGGGTAAGTAGGCGGGGCCAGGGTAAGGAGGCGGGGCCAGGATAAGGAGGCGGGGCCAGGGTAAGGAGGCGGGGCCAGGGTAAGGAGGCGGGGCCAGGATAAGTAGGCGGGGCCAGGATAAGGAGGCGGGGCCAGGGTAAGTAGGCGGGGCCAGGATAAGTAGGCGGGCCAGGATAAGTAGGCGGGGCCAGGATAAGGAGGCGGGGTCAGGATAAGTAGGCGGGGCCAGGATAAGGAGGCGGGGCCAGGATAAGTAGGCGGGGCCAGGATAAGTAGGCGGGGCCAGGGTAAGGAGGCGGGGCCAGGATAAGTAGGCGGGGCCAGGGTAAGGAGGCGGGGCCAGGATAAGTAGGCGGGGCCAGGGTAAGGAGGCGGGGCCAGGATAAGGAGGCGGGACCAGGGTAAGTAGGCGGGGCCAGGATAAGGAGGCGGGGCCAGGATAAGTAGGCGGGGCCAGGATAAGTAGGCGGGGCCAGGTAAGGAGGCGGGGCCAGGATAAGTAGGCGGGGCCAGGGTAAGGAGGCGGGGCCAGGATAAGTAGGCGGGGCCAGGGTAAGTAGGCGGGGCCAGGGTAAGTAGGCGGGGCCAGGATAAGGAGGCGGGGCCGTGCGAGCAGCAGAGGCAGAAGGCGGGAGACGCGAGGGCGGCGAGTGGCTTTGAGTCACCCAGCGGCGGCAGCGGTAGCAGCAGCAGCAGGAGGAGCCCTCGGCTGAACGGGACGAGCCGGGAGAGAGTGAGAGGAGGGAGGAGGAGGAGGCAGGGCCCGGCCCCGGGGCTCGCGGAGATGGAGGCGAGCGACGCGCTGTACATCACGGAGGGCGGCGAGATGCCCGCCGATATTGTGGAGCTGCACGAGATCGAGGTGGAGACGATCGCCGTGGAAGCCTTGGGCTCGGCGCTCATGGAGGTGGACGGCCACTCGCCGGGCATGATCGCCCTGCAGCCCATAGAGCAGCACGAGCACCACCTGCACCTGCAGCAGCAGGAGGTGATTCTGGTGCAGACGCGGGAGGAGCTCGTGGGCGACGACGATGACGGCGGCGGCCTCACCGTGTCGGCCTACGAGGACCACCACCAACAGCACCACATCCTCATCCCCGTGCCCGTGGACGAAGAGGAGGAGGAAGATGAGGACGACGAGGAGGAGGAGGAAGAGGACGACGAGGAGGAGGACGACGAAGATGACGATGACGATCTTATCGAGAGGTCTCTGGCCGCAATGCAGCCCAACACAACCATCACCACCATCACCACCTCGTCCGTCCCGTCCACTGCGCTGGCGGCGGCCAGGGCGAGACCGTCGAAGAAGGGAGGTGGGAAGAAGGGGGGAGGAGGAGGTGGCTCGGTCAGGCGGGGTTACCAGCTGGAGGCCGGCGAGGTGCTGCCCGAAAGGCCGCCGCGCCGCTGGGAGCAGAAGAAAGTTCAGATCAAGACCCTGGAAGGGGAATTCTCGGTCACGATGTGGGCCTCAGGTGAGTTTCGCGTGGTTGGCCATCGACAACATTGTCATGTTGTGGGGAGTGTGAGCACCATTCGGTCACTTCTCGACAACGATGACCCTCGTCCGTCAGCATCACACAATCACTTCGTGTTATTGTCGAGTGTTGTGGACTGTGCTCACCACCACAGTCGATCAACAACAGGCCTCGTGGTGTTGTCTGGCGGGTCCATGTGGTGTTCATCATCATCATGTCTGGCTGTCTCGAGTTGTTTGACTTCTATCAGTCGTTTCCCATTTAAGTGAATAGATCACAATTCACTGAGAACGTCCATGCCTCACGTCTCGCCACCATCCACTCATGACTGCCGGACACGTTGAGTGGTCGAATGTTTATTTGCGGGTACATTGTGTTTACGTGTTACTGTAAACATTACAGTGTAAATGTGAAGTCAGCTTTATTGTGGGGTATAGTATTCGATCTAGACTGCATCCCATTATCTTGGGTCTTATTTTTACAAAACGCATCTTTAAACTCGCAAGTCTTGCCAAACCATTACCACCCATCGTCCGATGTTGAACTAAAACGCAATTAATCTTAAGACCCACGGCGGCGTGGGACTTGCACGCCGCCAGGAGCCGGCCACACGAACGCCCCTTCCCGACGACCATTGAATGGGGGGAACGCGTTTGAACTTTAGACGATAAGACCGAGAGAGAGCAAACGAGCTCAGCCTCCGGCTGCTCGCGACAAACAACACAAACTCACAACGACGAAGCCGCGGCGAGGCGGACGAGCGGCGCTTCGCTCGTCGCAATTTCTACCCCGAGACTCGCGCGCGCGCGAAGCTTTCGGGGCGAGGAGGAGGAGGAGGGGGGAGAAAGCGAGAAAAAGCTTCGCGCGCCTCGAATACGATGCGTTCTCTTTCGTCTCCCCGCATAAATGTCGAGTGGTAATTGTTTTGTTGTCGTGGACGAGCGAGAGGAGGAGTGGAGCGAACGAGAGCTTCCTTCTCTCGCTCGCCGCGCGGCTCGGCCCCGTGCTGCTGCGCTGGCCCCTGGGCGCCGCCATCTTCCCCCCCCGTAACTTCAATGGCGGCGGGGAAGATGGCGGCGTCATGGCCGCCGCGTTTTGGCGCGGGGGGCCCCGGGAGGGCCGCCGCTTCGCTCGACGATTCTGCCGCTCGCAGCGTGCCCCGATGCACCCTTCTCCTCATGGATCGATATATTTTTCGCGCCCGCGGCGAGCAGCGACGTTTTCGTAGTGCGTCGCGCGCAAATTTATTTGGGTTTTTTTTGTGAGTGATGTGTACGAGAGAGAAAGGCTTGGGGTGGGGGGGTTTTTGTTGTGTGCGCGTGTCGTGGCGCTGAGGATTGTGCCGTCTCGTACAGCAGACGGCGCCGCAAATCGTAAAAAAACAAGTGCGCGGTTGCGTAAAGCGTTCAAGGACGTTTTTTTCGATCTCGTCTCCCCAAAGCGATGTATTTGTAGGTAGTTTTTGTGTAACCGGCGACGGCAACGCTCCTCTCTCTCTCTCGCGTCCTTGGCTCGCCCACGTCTCACGACGGCGACTCTAACGCTTTCCGGCGTGCGTGAGAGTCGGGGGCAGCGACCGAGTTCGCTCGCCGTCGTCGTGCCGCCTTTCACTTTCTCTGTCTCTACACAGCCACGCTCACTCACTGCCCTCTCTCTCTCTCTCGCTCCCTTCTCGCTGGGCACACGCGGCTACTCGGCAACCTCACGCCACCCGCTGGCCACTGTCACGCATTGCCCGCACACCCCCCTGGAGTTGAGAGAGATGCCAGAAATATAAAGTCCACAACTGTTGCCGCCCCCCCCCCCCCCCCCCTGCTCATGATGGGCAAA